GTATGTATGTATGTATGTATGTATGTATGTATGTATGTATGTATGTATGTATGTATGTATATGTGTGTGTCTGTGTGTATGGGAGAAAAAGACACGAAATCCGCCTTACCTCGACTGTAGCTGCCTGGCGTAGAGTAGTTGCTGGCTCGTCAGACCGGACGGCTGACCGAAGAGCCGTCCTCCCGCCGACCAGGAGGCGACCGCGGCGACAGCGGCCGCCTGACTCATGGCCTGTTTGGCCAGAGCCATGGAGGCCACCGGCGTCTCGGAGGCCGGAATAGGCAGGATGGAACCAGAGCCGGTTGTCCCGAGACGATTGGTCACGTCAGTGCAGCTGACGGCCGCGGTCGCTGCCAACGACGACATGGGCGTCGGCGTCGGTGTCGGCGTCGGGGTTGGAGTCGACGTCGGAGTGGACGTGGCTGTGGTGGACACAGTCGCGTTGTTCACGGTCATCCAATGGCGACCTGGCGTCGCCCGAAGCAGACGTCGAGGGGATGGCGAGGCCTGCGATAGCGAAGTGACGGTCGGTCGCCGACGCGACAAGGCGTCAAGCACGCGAACAGCGGAGAGGTGGGAGGCGGGTGAGGCCTTAGAGGAAGGTGTCGACGCAGTCACCATGGCGACAGAGGGTGAGGCGAGCAGGCCTCCCGAAGGAGGGAGCAGAGACGTTTCGAACGAGTTCTGATGCTGTTGCTGCTGCTGCTGATGATGATGATGAGGAGGAGGAGAAGGGTGATGCTCCAACTTTCCACTCATCGACGCATTCGACAACAGACTCGGCATACCCGAGGTCGTCATGGCCAGGCTGTTGTCAATCGGGCTGGTTCCGGTTGTCGTGGTGACAGAAGCGGCGACTGCAGCCGCGGCCGCAGCCGCAGCTGCCAGCGCACTCGAGATGTCGGCGGCTACGCCAACAGCCGGCGCCACTTGACCGGTGGAGTAGCGAAAGCGCATTGCGGGGCTGTGCTGAGCCAAGAACTGCATGACAGCAGTGTTCGTCTCGTTCCAGTCCAGGTCGGGCGTCATGTGACCATTCCGCACCTTTCGCTTCGTCTTGGACACCAGATTCTCCCATTTCTTCTTCACCTGATGCAAGCGAGCCGGGCGTGTAGTGCAAGAGGAACGCGGGTGAGACGAGGAGGGCGAGAGAACGGGTCGTTAGGTCGAGTTGGGGCTAGAAACATGCGAAAAACACCAACCTCGACGCAAGAGCTGTATTCACGCTAGTTAGTTTGAGATGATAAAGGTGATTGGTAGTTGAATTTTCCCACAATCATATGAGCCTGCCTCAAGTTTTCATTGAATTTCCCACAACCTTGCATAGCAAAAGGTATTCTCAACAGGGATGGCATCAAATCGTACTGGATTCACGTCCAGTCTGAATGAGACTAGATTGTGTGAAACAAGATTTATAGGATTGGAGGAAAATTCATCTGCCAATCTTTCATCACTTTAAACAAAACGGGATGAATACAGCTCGAAAACAGACTTAGTAACGAATAACTTAATTTACACGATCGTTGAGTTTTTCCCATCGCCTCTACCTCAACCACATCCCCGGGACAATTCGATAGCGGATTGTGCTTATATCATGGCGACGTTAAGACTCAACCTGTTCGTATTGACGAATTGGTGATAGTCTCGACGACTAGCCAAATTCACATTAAGCAATCTCGAAGATTCGAAAGCATGAACACCAAGATGGTGTGGCCTTTTGTGTATAGAAGTTGTTTGACTTTGTTTTCGCAACTTGGTCGCATGGAAAATTACCACATCCACGGTGCAACTTTGGAAATAATCATGCATACAATGGACTTCGGACTAGGTGCGTTTCTCTAAGTCTTCCTACCAAAGTGACCAAGTTGCGAAAACAAGGTCAAACAACTTCAATCTCGTAGATTGTTTGTTCAGCCAAGCCCCCCTGAGTGTCACATCGGCCCAGGGTGGAAATACCTTTTGGGAATTTGATGACATTCTGAAAGCTATCCATCTGATTGTGAGAAAATTCAGTTGTCAGTCATCTTTCATTACTTTAAGCGACCTAGGCTGACTGAAGATCTTATACAACCGTTTTGGGTGAAAGTGTTTGGCAAAGATATTCGAAGGTCGATCCCACCATAAAACGACGACGAATTCATCCCGACTAGCTGTCGATTGGCTTTACTGGAACATTCTTGTTGGCACTGTTCCCGTGGCAATCTACTTCGATTCCGTCGTATGACGAACATCGCCAGAACAGAGCATCATCCTTACAACCACATTCAAGCTAACAAGTTGTCTTGACTCGACGAACGTCGGCCAATCCACAGCTGGTTAAGAGGAGTCCGCCGTCGTCTTCTGGTGTAATCAACCGAAGAATGTCTTTACAGACAAGTTCACTCGGAATGGAAATCAAGATGTCATAATCCTAATTGACGGGACCTTAATTTTGGTAAACCTGGGTTTTCGAGACGATGACAACTTCTTAAATAAGGCTCGAATACAACATCTACCCCGTGACTCAGTCGAACACGCGACTGTCCGGACAATAGACAACGTGGTCACGACGCCGACGAGGCGAGTTCGAGTCCCGACGTGGGGGGCGGCTGTTGACGA